GTGTGTGTGTGTGTGTGTGTGTGTGTGTGTGTGTGTGCCTGTGTGCGTGCGTCCGTGCGTGTGTGTGTGAAAATACACGTGTACGGCGTCTGTATGTTTTCTCGTTTTCTGGTTAACTCTAACTGCTCTACGATTCTTGCTGATCCATCAGCTTCCTTTATCGGTCTGCCAGTGCCTGCCGATTCTTCCCTATTGCCATACGTTTCATAGACCAAAATGAGAAACCCCGTAAACAGGAATTAAAAGCAATCTGCTTTTAATATTGTTAGCAAATATAAATTAAAATATAAATATATATAAATCGTAACAAATATTGCGAATTGCAAAAGCTGGTTGTAAACGACAGAATAAGCACGTCCTTGCTGCGTGTATGAATCAAGTGATACATCGCCTGGCTCATCGTATTGCCTACTATGACACAGACGCGCGCGCACGCACGCAAACACTCTCTCTCTCTCCCTCATTCGCTCTCTCACGCTTCCCTCTGCCGCTCATTCTCTCTCTAGCCTCCTCTCTCTCTTTCTCTGCCTCATCACTCTCTATTTCTTTTCCTCCCGTCGCGCTCTCCTTCCCCCTCTCTCTCAGCGCGCTCTCTCCCCCTCTCTTCCTTTTCCTCCCACTGCCCTCTTTCTCTCCCTCCCGTCGCTCTCTCCTTCCCCTCTCTCTCAGCGCGCTCTCCCCCTCTTTTTCTTTCCCTCGCACCGCCCTCTCTCTCCATCCCGCTCGCTCTTGCGCTGCCTCTTTCGACCATCTGTGAATAAGACACCGTACACTCGACCCGGTGACCCAACCGTATAGGCTCCTATTCCCGCTCTTGATAAGATCAGCCCTCCGTGTGGCTCGGCGTGGAGGTGGAGGGGGAGGAGAGGAGGAGGGGGAGGGGACTGCTACTACATACGCTGCTACTGCACACGCGCTCTCGCCCCACGTGGCTCTACATGCGTGCGCTTCTAGAAGTGCGAGTGGACTCGCGTTCGATCGCAGACAACATTCTATTAAACTTATTCGATCGCAGCTGACATTCTATTAAACGTATTCGATCGCAGATGACATCCTGATCTTATTCGATCGCAGATGACATTCTATTTGCTTTATTCGACCACAGAAAACATTCTGCTCCCCCGTTCTTCGTTCACTCGTCATCTGGTCGCATCACACACGGCAAATGCGGTGTCAATATGAGAGACACAACAGCTTTCGCACGCTGATGTCGTATCGTAATTTCATCTACCAGTAAGCAACCGGCTGCCTGTTGTCTGCAAGGCAAACCACCGAAACGTGTAGGAAAAAAATCCCTGCTCTACACACACGCTAAAGAGCGGCTCACTACATTCCACACACTCTCTCTCTAGATTCTTTCTGCGTACAGACGTAAGACGAGGTCCCACGAGGCTGGCTGAGTAATGAGACAATTGGATCAGCTGTCAGCTCTTACCGGCGATATTTCGCGCTACGGACTCGCGTAATGAAAGTGATTTAGTCGCTTTGCCTTCTCGCCGGCTGGCTCTAGAGTGGAGAGCCACTTACCGGATCACACGAGGTCTGGGGGCACGCTGCTATACCGTAGCGTTAGCCTCATCCGCCTGGCTCAGGCGGGATACGTAGAGATATTGCATTCACCCCCGCGAAATGCTATTTCTGGTCGGCGTCCCGTCGTTTGAAAATAAACAAAGCACTCGGATACTTGTGATTCGCCAGTTGTCGGCGTTCGGGTAGCAAGCTAGTAGCTGTATAACTGCTCCGTCTATCACGTTAGCCGTGTTACGTGGGGAGCTAGTAGCAGTATTACTGCTCCGTCTATCACGTCACCCGTGTTACATGGGGAGCTAGTAGCAGTATAACTGCTCCGTCTATCACGTTAGCCGTGTTACGTGGGGAGCTAGTAGCAGTATTACTGCTCCGTCTATCACGTCACCCGTGTTACGTGGGGAGCTAGTAGATGTATTACTGCTCCGTCTATCACGTCACCCGTGTTACGTGGGGAGCTAGTAGCAGTATTACTGCTCCGTCTATCACGTCACCCGTGTTACGTGGGGAGCTAGTAGCAGTATTACTGCTCCGTCTATCACGTCACCGGTGTTACGTGGGGAGCTAGTAGCTGTATTACTGCTCCGTCTATCACGTCACCCGTGTTACGTGGGGAGCTAGTAGCTGTATTACTGCTCCGTCTATCACGTACCCCGCGTTACGTGGGGAGGCTAGTAGCTGTATTAGCCCGTCTATCAAGTCACCCGTGTTTACGTGGAGCTAGTAGCTGTAATTAAACTGCTCCGTCTATCACGTCAGCCCGGGTGTTACGTGGGGAGCTAGAGCAGTATTACTGGCTCCTCTATCACGTCACGACCGTGTTACGTGGAGCTAGTAGCAGTATCACTGCTGCTCCGTCTAATTCACGATCACCGTGTTATCTGGCGGAGGCTATGTAGCTGTATAACTGCTACCGTCTATCACGTCACCGTGTTACGTGCGGGAGCTAGTAGCAAGTATTACTGCTCCGTCTAATCAACGTTAGGCCGTGTTACGTGGGGAGCTAGTACGCAGTATTACTGCTTCCGTCTATCACGTCACCGGTGTACGTGGGGAGGTAGTAGTCAGGTATGTATGCTCCGTCTATCACGTTCACGCCGTGTTACGTGGGGAGCTTAGTAGCAGTATTACTGCTCCGTCTATCACCGTCACCGTGTTACGTGGAGCTAGTAGCAGTAGTACTGCTCCCGTCGATCAGCGTCACCCGTGTTACGTGGGGAGCTAGTAACTGTATTTACTGCTCCGTCCTATGCACGTCACCACGTCGTTTACGTGGGGAGCTAGTAAGGCAGTATTACTTGCTGCCGTTCTTATCACGTCACCCGTGTTAACGTGGGGAGCTGTAGATTATTACTGCTCCGTCTATCACGTCACCCGTGTTTACGTGGGGAGCTAGTAGCTGTATTACTGCTCGTCTTATCAGCGTCACGCCGTGTTACGTGGGGAGCTAGTAGACTGTAATACTGGCTCCGTCTATCCCCGCGTCACCCGTGTTACGTGGGGAGCTAGTAGCAGTATTACTGCTCCGTCTATCACGTCACCCGCGTTGTTACGTGGGGAGCTAGAGCAGTATTAGCTGCTCGCAGTCTACACGTCACACCGTGTTACGGTGGGGAGGCTAGTAGCTGTATTATGACTGCTAGGCCGTCTATCACGTCACCGTGTTACGTGGTGGAGCTAGCCTAGCTGTATAGCTGCTCCGTCTATCCAACGTCAGCCCCGTGTTACGTGGGAGCTTAGTACTGTATACTGCTCCGCTATCACGTCACCCGTGTACGTGGGGAGCTAGTAGTAGGCAAGTATTACTGCCCGTCTATCGACACAGGGGAGGCGGGGTTGGGCCGTCACCAGGTGCTTACGTGGGGAGCCCTAGTAGCTGTATACGCTACCGTTATCACGTCACCCAGTGTTACGTGGGGAAGCTAGTTATCTGTATACTGCTCGCCGTCACACGTCACCCGTGTTACGTGGGGAGGCTAGTTAACATATACGCTCGCGTCTACACGTCACCCGTTACGTGGGGACTAGTAGCAGTATTACTCCGCTCCGTACTATCAACGTCAGCCCGTGTAACTGGGACTTCCGTAAAAACTGTATACATGCTGCCGTCTATCACGTCACCCCGTGTTACGTGGGAGCTAGTAGCTGTATTACTGCTCCGTCTATTCACGTCCCCGTGTACGTGGGAGCTAGTAGCAGTATAATGCTCCGTCATCACGTCACCCGTGTTCACGGGTGGAGCTAGTAGCTGATTACTGCTCCGTCTATCACGTCAACCGGTGTTACGTGGGAAGCTAGTAGCTGTACTTACTGCTCCGTCTTCCACGTCACCCCTGTTACGGGGGAGCTAGTAGATGTATTACTGCTCGCTAATCACTGTCAACCCGTAGTACTGGGGAGCTAGTAGCAGTATTACTGCTCCGTCTATCACGTCATCCACGTGTTACGTGGGGACTAGTAGCTGTATTACTGCTACCTCTATCAGCGTCCACCCGTGTTACGTGGGAGCCTACGTACCTGATTACTGGCTCCGTCTATCAACGTCACCCGTGTTACGTGGGAGCTAGTACTGTATACTGCTCCGTCTA